TGTTAACCTTAAGTATTATAATGTATAATATATTATATATATTTTTTTGCAGATAAAGTTCTTTTCTTGAGATAAATTGCTTGAAAATTAAATTTTTTGTTGATTAGTTTTTTATATTATTAATTTGGATAATATTTTACTTTTTATTCCTCTTAAATTTATTATTTAAATGGTAATGTTGTGGGATATGGTTTTAAGCATGGAATTTGGTTCTGTTAATTTGTTAATTTGTAATGATTTTTCGTTGAATAATCATGCTAAATTTTGGAATATTTTTTTTTCCTGTGACCCACATATTTTCGACAGCCAAATTGGCTGCCGAAAATGTTTAGCTTTTTTGGGGACATAATCGACAGTCAGTTTACTGCCGAATATAAGTATAATCGACAGTTTGTTACTGACGAATATAACTATATTCGGCAGTCAACTAACTGTCGAATATATTTAGCCTATTTTTAGCATACATAATCGACAGTGGAATTGCTGTCGATGATATGTATAATCGACAGTATATTACTGACGAATATACCTATATTCGGCAGTCAGCTGACTGCCGAATATATTTAGCCTATTTTAGCAAACATAATCGACAGTGGAATTATTGTCGATTATATATATAACCGACAGTATATTACTGACGAATATACCCATATTCGGCAGTCGTCTGGCTGTCGAAAATATTTAGCTTATTTTAGCAAACATAATCAACAGTGGAATTACTGTCGATTATACATATAATTGACAGAAATATGTCGATTATAAGGTATAACCGACAGGTATGATTTCTTACGATTATATGAATTTTCGACTCTCATTTTTTCGGCCGAAATTACTGTCGCTTATGTTTGTCGATTATAATATAATCGACAGAATAATCGTTATAATAGACAGTATTAATTGTCGAATATACTGCGTTTTCTAGTAGTGTTAGTCATTCATAGTACTTCCACCATTGATTTCCAACTCAATTTGTTTTTCTCCCAAATATTTTAATTCTTATCCTTGTTTGCTCGTCTTTTAAGTTAAATGATCTGTTTCCTAGGGTCATTTAAGTTTTTAAGGCACAATTAGCTTATATCCAACAATTTCATACGTGCAGGACTCCCTAATGGATATCATAACATCAGTCCTTGATATTGTGAAGGTTGTTGGCCCTAAAGTTTGGCAATACCTCAAGTATCAGATGTGTCACAATGATTATGTCAGTAAATTCGAAGATGAGCGACAAAATCTAAAGCGCCGACTTAATGTCATTGACGCAAGATTGAAGACATAGCAAAAGCAGCCCGGAAAGATTCCAAATGAGGAAGTGGAAGCTTGGTTGAAGAAGGCGGACCAAGAAACCACCGAAGCAGTGGTTGAAAATCTGATTTGTAAAGGGGGTTGTTTCACATATATTTGCTCAACAAGAAAGTTCGATAAAAAGACTCAAGTACTGAATGAAATATTTATGCAAGGAGAAAAATACACTAAGGCTGTTGAGAGTTTGGTTGTAGATGATCACTCAATCAAAGGTATTCCACTAGTCATTGAAGACTGCTGTGGCAGGGATGATGTACAAGAACAAATTCTAGAATGGTTGAAGGGGGACAAGGATACAAGAATTGCAGTTTGGGGAATGGGTGGTGTGGGCAAGACAACAATTATGAAGCAAGTCCGCAACCAGCTGTTGAAAGAATCCAAATTTAACGTTATTTGGGTAAAATTGTCAAGAGACTTTGACATTCTTGTCCAGAAAAAAAAAAGGAGTTTGATATTCTCAGGTTTCATAAAAGGATTGCAAGTAGCATGAAATTAAAACTGGAGCCAGAGGATCATGAGAATGAAACCAAGATATTAGGATTGATTTCACAAAAGTTGAGGCAGGGCAGCTTTGTGCTAATTTTTGATGATGTGTGGCAGCCTTTCTCTCTAGAAGGTGTTGGAATTCCTAATCTAGTTGGAAATAATGGTTGCAAGTTAGTACTCATGACACGATTACAAGATGTTGCTCGTGCAATGGAGTGTAAGGTGATACTTGTGAATCCTCTTCCACCTGAAGAAGCATTAGCATTATTCTTGAAGAAAGTTGGAAGTGACGTGTTGTTAGATGGCATAATTAAAGGAGATATAAAGCCATCTTTGGAGCAAATGTTACAGAAATGTGATGGAGTACCCCTTGCTATTGTGACAATGGCAGAATCAATGAGAGGGAAATTACTTCCTCGTCTTTGGAAGTCAACACTTTCTAAATTTAGTAAATTTAAAAGCACTATTGATTGTTTGAAATTCAGTTATGAATGCCTAGAACCAGAATGCCGGGGGTGTTTTTTATACTGTGCATTGTATCCTGAAGATTGTGAAATCAGAAAGGAGGAGTTAATTGAGTATTGGATTGAGGAGGGGCTAATATATAAAGAAGGGAAAACCAGGGAGGCAATGAATTTGAAGGGTCATGATATACTCGATAAGCTTGTTGACAACTGCTTGTTGGAGTTGGTTAAATACAACAAAGATTGTGTGAGTATGCATGATCTTCTCCGAGAAATGGCGTTGGATATGAGTCCTCAATTCTTGGTGAAAGCCGGCATTGCCTTGGAAAAGCTACCAGAGGAGCATGAATGGAGTGAAGATCTTTTGAAGGTTTCTTTAATGAGGAATTACATAACAGAAATTCCTTCAAGCATGCCGCCTTCGAAGTGTCCTATGCTTACAACCTTGCTGTTGTCCAATAACGAGATTTCAACAATTCCAGAAGCTTTTTTTGAGCATATGGTTGGGCTCAAGATTCTTGATCTTTCCAATAATCGTGAGCTACGTAGGCTGCCAAGTTCTGTGTCCAAATTGGAGAAGTGTACTACATTATTGCGGGGGGATTGTAAGTCCTTAAGAGAGGTACCATCTTTATCCAACCTTGTAGGCTTAAAAAAGTTGGATCTTTCCTGGACATCAATTGAAGAACTACCCCAAGGCCTCAACATGTTAACAAATCTAAAATATCTTGGTCTTGGTGGAAGATTGCCTGAAACACTTGATGAATTGTTGCAAAATCTCTCCGACCTTCAGCATTTAATGGTAAATGCTAAAACAAAATTTAAATGGGAGAAGATTGGAAGTTGGGGGAAGCTTCAAAACCTTGAGAAGCTGGTTCTTCGTAATTTGGATAACTTGAATGCGGTGTTTGGGGAAGCAGGAGCAGTTGCTGAGTCAGCATCGCTACCAGCTGGCACATTTTCCTCGGCGAGGTGGTTAGGGTATCTCTAGAAACTACAGACTATTGAGGTTGAAGATTGTGAGCAACTGGAGGAGATAATATGGTCTAAATCTAAAGAAGGAGAACAAGTCACTCTACCCAAGTTCGAAAGCTTGACATTGTCCTCTTTGCCCCAGTTGAAGAGCATCTACAGTGGTTCTTTGATTTGTGATTCCATCAAGAAGATTGAAATTCAATTTTGCTACAATATAGAGAGTGTTTTTTGGTCAGGGTTCAACCCACTTCAAAATCTTGAATATCTACACCTTTCCTGTTTACGGAATCTAAAATTCGTGTTTGATGAATAGGGTCTTGGTTTATCGCCACTTGTACCTCCCACAAGCTTTTTCTCTCTTAAAGAAATTAGGGTTGATAGTTGTGATCAATTAAAGAAGGTATTCTCATCTGGATGGCTGCTCCGTTACTTCCAATCTCTAGAGATTCTGAAGGTTGAAAGGTGTTGGGTAATGGAGGAGCTGATATCGTCATCGGCACATGAAGAAAAAGAAGTCACCCTACCGATGTTACAAAGGTTGGAATTGTATGAATTGCCCACATTGAAGAGCATCTACAGCAATTCTTTGATTTGTGATTCCATCAAGGAGATTAAAATTTGGAGATGCAAAAAAATAGAGAGTGTTTTTTGGTTAGGGTTCAACCCACTTCCAAAACTTAAATATAACCTTTATAAATTAAAGAATTTGAAATGCGTGTTTGATGAAGAAGGTCTTGGTTTATCATCACTTGTACCTCCCACAAGCTATTTCTCTCCTAAAGAAATTAGCATTGATGACTGTGCTCAATTAAAGAAGGTACTCTCATCTGGATGGCTGCTCCACTACTTCCAATCTCTAGAGACTATTTATGTTCGAGGGTGTCCACAAATGGAGGAGCTGATACCGTCATCGGCAAATGAAGAAGAAAAAGTCACTCTACCCAAGTTACAAGGCTTGGAATTGATAGGTTTACCCTTATTGAAGACCATCTGTAGTGGTTCTTTGATTTGTGATTCCATCAAGAAGATTATGCTTTGGGGTTGCGACAATATAGAGAGTGCTTTTTGGTCAGGATTCAACCCACTTCCAAATCTTGAATATCTACACCTTAACCATTTAGAGAATCTGGAATACGTGTTTGATGAAGAAGGTCTTGATTTATCGCCACGTGTAGCTCCCACAAGCTTTTTCTCTCTTAAAGAAATTAGGGTTTTGGGGTGTCATCAATTAAAGAAGGTATTTTCATCTGGATGGCTGCTCTACTACTTCCAATCTCTAGAGACTATTGAGGTTGACTGGTGTTCACAAATGGAGGAGCTGATATCGTCATCGACACATGAAGAAGAAAAAGTCACTCTACCTAAGTTACAAGGCTTGAAATTGACACTATTGCCCTTATTGAAGAGCATCTGCAGCAGCTCCAGTGTGTTGATTTGTGATTCCATCCAGAGTCTAAGGATTTCAAAGTGTGAAAAGCTAAAGAGGATTCCTCTAAATTTTCCCTTGCTTGATAATGCCTAATCATCTCATCCTCCTTCCCTCAAAAAGATTAGGGTATACCCAAAAGAATGGTGGGAATCATTGGAATGGGACCATCCCAATGCAAAAGACATCCTTTTACCCTTTTGTAAATTTGAGGAGTGATAGGGCGCACCGCAAATGTAAGCCTTTTAATCTTCAATTTTCCATTTTTGATTCAACTCAGTAAGAGTTTTCCATTCTTAATAAATCTCTCTCTCTCATCTATTCTTTTCTCCCCCATTGGCAGCAATTGGGATTCGTCTCTGCAACCACAAGAAAGTTGGAGGAAATCACATATGCACTAGTTGCTGTTGCTATTGGGTTTTCAATTTAATATAATCTTTGTTTTTCTTTTGTTGTGTGTGTGTTGTGTGTTTAAATATGTCCAATTCTAAGTGGAAAACTGGAAATGCTTGTTTCTTTATTATCCATGTAATTTTGTCTTTGAAACTGTGTGCGAAAAAGACTTGAAACTGTATTTGCTTTTCTTGTGTAATATGTACTTCGGTTGACTGCATTTGCATATCTCTTCTCAAATTTCATTCAACAACATTATCGTCATCAACAACAACCGAGGCTTACTTTCATCAACTATATTTGCATGCTCTGTTACTTTATCTACTCAGAATCGCCAAAAAGGACTAGCACTTGGGTCAGAGTGCACTGCTCTTCTTTTCTTTTACCTTTTTTAATTAATTATTTTGTTTTGTTTTCTGATTGCATGGTCTGAATGTCTTATTAGCTAAAGTAAATTATTGGATAAACACTGTTATTTTCAAAAGATAATTACATAATGCCCATCCTTGGATGTTAGTGGGTTAACATTCATATGTGGGCAGGCCGATGTTGGTGCTATGCTACGAAAGCATGCTGGTGATGAGAAGCTACTGGATCACTACTTATCACAAAGCATATATTGTTCCAGTACATAATATTTGACACCCAGTCCCATGTTGCAAACTTCACTCTTAAGAGCAAAGCGGATTTTCCTTTGACACATCAAACCGCCAGTTGTTATGATGGAAAAGAGGGGTTCTTATGAGCATGTTTCTTTTTAATCAAGCATATTGGCAGAGGAACTATATATATTTGTGACATGGTAAGACTTGTTTACTTTGAAATAATCACTATTCATTATTTGAAGGTGTTGTTATCAGCAAGAGCTCAAATTTTTCAGTGAAGAGCTCCAAAATCAGGTATCAAGTTAACTATAATACTACTTTGAAGGAGAGGGCTTAAATGACCATAGAAAGGTATGAAATTTATATGTTTGGGCCTCAATTTTGTCATTTGAAACAAACTGTGATTGCTCTACCTCAGTTCAACCGTCTTTATTGGTAATTTATTTTTTTCAATAATTTATTTTTCTTGACTGTCTATTAGATTAGATAATTCCATAGCTTAAGTAAAGTTGCATAAAATAGTTTCAGTACAAAAGGAGAGCACTAATGTCTAGATAATGATGATTTGTTTCTAGAATGCTTGCCTAATAGAGTTTAAGTGTTGAAAAATTTTGTTGTTTAGTCTTCTTTTAACTAATTTTTGTCTGGTACATCTCTAAAGCAAGCCAGAGTTCATCTTCTCTATACTGTGCCAGTGGTCAGAATTGTTGTCCAAATTATATATCAATTTTCACTCTTAAGAGCAGAGCGAACACGTCAAATGATCAATTGTTATGTGGAAAAAAAGGGTTCTTATGAGCATATTTCTTTTTAATCAAGCATGTTTGTCAAGGTGCTATACGTACCAGGGACATGTTAAGACCTGATTGCTTTAAAACAATCACTACTCACTATTTGAGGTTGTTGGTATCAGCAAGAGCTCAAATTTTTCTATGGAGAGCTCCAAAATCAGATGCCAAGTTTCCTATAATGCTGCTTTGAAGGAGAAGAAACTGTCCTTGTCCCTCTTAAATGACCATAGGAAGGTATGAAATTTATATCTTCGGGCACAATTTTGTCATTTCAAACAATAAGTGATTACTCTGCCTTCAAGATGAAAATTCTACTTAAGTTCCACCATCTTTATTGGTATTTTATTTCAATAATTTATTTTAGTCTTGCTTGTCTATTAGATTGGACAATTCCACAGCTTTAGTAAAGTTGCCTAATAATTTGGCCAGTGCATGAGAATCTGACTTCTAAAGAGATATATATATATATATATTTGGTACAAGAGGAGAGCATTATATGTCTAGATAATTATGATTTGTTTCTAGAATGCTTGCTTGGTAGAGTTCAAGTATTGTTGAAACATTTTGCTGGTCCATCTTCTTTTAACTAATTTTTGTCTGGTACATCTCTAAAGCAAGACAGAGTTCATCTTCTCAACATATGCCAAGTGCCAATGGTCAAAATTATTGTCCAAATTACATATCAATGTAGAGAGGGATTCAGTGTTAGTCTGCGTTGCTTGTCTCTTTATTGGATTTGTTGCATCAATCCTTCAATTTCTAGGTTTGTAAAACTGCTCTCTTAGGGGTTTCCTTTCTCTTATGTTTTCCTTCAAGATCTAATGTAGATTTCTCTAAATTTATCACATTTTCCATTTGATCAAGGAGACTGCGTTTTTATCTCTGATTATCTGTTTTGATGCCATCATCTCAATGTTTGTTTGGTTGCTGAGAAGATTAGAGAAAATCAAGTTTCTGAGAGAGTTTTTCTTTCTATTGGGGAAATTGAAGTTTAGTTTATTGATCATGCTTGCTTTTTCTTTCAACTTTTTACTCAGTTGAGTCTGATCAATGAAAATTCAAATTTTCCTTTAATTGGAAAGGATTTTATTTAAATTTGTTGTCTAATGTGTCCCAAATTTGTTCTAGAATTATGAATTCCATCTGGTCAAGTCAGATAAATTCTTTTGTTGAAGAATGTGAGCATGTTCTAATTTCTAATCCTCCTCCTGCTGATCTAGGCTTAAAACTTGCTTTTGCTTGTGGAGGATTATTATTAGTGAGATAAACCTTATTTTGATTGTTACATCTGAGCAAAAAAGACAGATTGGATTCTAAACCGTATTTTGATTTGATTTCATGTTGAATTGTTTTTATGTGCATTATATTTTCATAGTGATGGTGTAGTTTACCTGTGGTACTGATGCAGTATATGGTGGAATTCAATGGGAAACATTCACAAATCTATCTGATTTATGAGCTAAATATATTTTTCTATATTTAACAAATTAATCAGGACTGCATCAAGATACTTGTTGGAACAAAGTTGACCAATATTGTTTGTTATCATTTTTCATTTTGCTCCAGTTAGCAATTTAATCTCAAGTTCATCTGATACTTTCTAATGGACCTATTTGATATTACGGAAAATGATTCTTGAGCATTATTTTATGCATGGAATTTAATGGTACCACTCACATTGGTGATCTTAACAGGAAAGTGAAAGGGTTAAGTCCAGAAAGTAGTGTATATGTTTATTAGATATTCCTTCCCTTGAGACAAGTTTATTTGTTGTTTGGATGCAAAAGTAGTATGGAAGCTTATTGAATAGTTTAGTTGTTTATATATTCTAAAGTAGTCCTATTTTGATTTCTAAAATCAGGTTGACCATGCATTGGTGATTTCTATTATGTAAATAAGTGGTTTTAGACTCAGACTTTTTCCTTATACATTTAACACCCTATGTAAGTTTACTGATGTAGGCTTGCATGAACATGACTGTATACGTCAAATAGGATATGACTTTAAGTATGGTCCTTTTTATGTTCACTTATTTAAAAAATTTAACAGTGTAACTATGAATCATCCGTTACATGTGTGCTGCCTGCTGCTTACCTTGGGGCTTTAGCCAAAATCATGTTGCGACAGTTACATATGTAGTGAGACAATTGCAGAGGGAACCTTTAGAGCTTTCTTTGTCCTTTTTAAGTTTTCCCTAATTGCTTCAGTTTTGCCATTCATTTCCAGCTCTTGCTGCCGTACTTCAAATTTGATCCGTAGTTTTTGTAGTCTCTATATTTACTCTTAAAGATATCTGCTTTGCCCATGAAAAGAGTGACCAGATTTCTAAAGGTGACTGCTTAGTTGGTTACATTTGAGTACTCTTGCTAGGAGACTTGCTAACTTTGCTTAAAGGCCCTTATGCTGATGCAATATTTCTTTCTTTTTTTTTTTTTTT